ACGACAAAGTTACTCACGCTACCGACATCCCGAGCATAGCAAATACTCGACTGCACTAGTAGGACTCATGGTGGATATATTTATGCATGTAGCTTCCATAAAATGCCTCAGAACGTAAATGCATATCATATAAATATATTCATGATCATTTAAAAATAGGGGTTATGCACCGGGCTTGCCTTGGGCAAAGTAGCGGTGTCGTCAAGAAAGTCGATGACGGGTGGCTCGGAACGCCCTCCTCCACGAGGATCTCCTCGTATTCTTCGATGACTTCGTCAGATTCTCCTTTCCAAATGTCACGATCTCCAAAGGGCTCGTCCTCTATATGCATGCAGTGATGATGATGCAATAATTAATATATAGGCAACCGCAACTCTTAAAATAAGAATACATCTACCAAGCTACTAAGCTAACTCTAATGACTAATACGCAAAGTTACCTATTATTCCCACTAAACAAGTATGAAACATTTCATGTATTATCTTAGCAACTAAAGGCATCCTTATTGTTAATATCAATTTACTATATATATAATAAAACAAGGTGCACTAGCTACCATGCATCATAAAAATTTATTCTCTAAATAACCATAATGAGCATTTCAAAATAATAAAGTAATCCTAAAGGTATCAACTTTAACTATACTTAACTAATTACACTAATGTAGGTCATGAATTTAGGAATCTAACAAAATTTATTTCACAATAAATAAATTCAAATGAGCTCTAGAGATGAAGAAAACGATATTATTGGAGGAGGCTAATCACGCAATTGAACTTGCTGACTTGCACATGACTGTGGGTCTAGAATTACTAGATGAGACCGCGAGTCAAGAAAATAAGAAGAAGAATGAAGGAATTCTTACATGCTAGCTACCTTAGAATTGAATGAAGTGCCACCTACGGTGATCGATGTGCGGAGGCAATGCAAGAGGAGAGACACCAGGGAGCTTAGCAAATGCCTGGCCTACGTGGAGTGGAGTAGAGCCATATATAGCACTGATCGTGGGTGGTCATGAGTAGTCAGGAAGCATGAAACGAGTTGGCAGGGTTGTCCTCTAGCTCCGTGCCGTGTGCGGTGGTGAGGTCTTGGTCATGAGAGAATTAATTCAAGGATTGAACTTTGAGTGGTCTTGGACTTACGAGCACGCCAGATCGGAGTGGGCTTTGGGCTAAACGTGTTTGGCGGTGGTCGGCAACTTTCGTATAAAAAACAATGAAGCTTGTGTGCGAATTACTACATGATAGTAATTCAAGGACAAGTGCTTACAAGTTCATTCGTGGATAAACATTGAACCCACATCGAATTATTTTTATACTGTGCTCTCTAATAATTTATTTATATTCTAACAATACTCATAGATATTTATGTTTATCCTATTCATTATAATAAAGTTCATTTCCTTGGATCATCAAAGATTATCTGACATGCATACAAAAAAAAACGACGTTCGTTGGGGCATGCAGAGGCAACGAGCAAAAAAAAATCAATGGAGGAGACCACATGTCAAAAGCAGCTGCTGTGGCTGGTGTATTTTCTCGGATGAACAGTGTTTCTGCGCGCTACAGTGTTTCTCGTGTTCTGGCTCGATGAACGTGTTTGCTGCGCTGTGAACAGTGCATTCGTGCTACAAAGCGCGTGTGGAAAAGTTGAAACCATCAGAACCGTGTTTCGCCAGAATAAAGTTCCGCCTTGCTGCAGAGAATCCGTGTAGAAGAGGTGCCCATCGATTTCCACGAGTGAACAAAGACTTTCTACGGGTGGGCGGTAATTTCTGCGTGACCGGTGTTTCACTGCACCCTACCGTGTGGAAAATTTGTATGTCCTTCATTTGCAAAGCAACCGAAATGAAAGAAAAGCGAGTGCTCGGCTGGGCTGAGCTTGTGAGTGATATAAATGCGTGGCGTGTCGCGACACACTATGGCAAGGTGGTAGCGCGTCGTAATACCTTTGATAATTTTGTAAGGTGATTAGCAAGCGAAGCACAAAGGGGTAATTAGAACAACGATAGATGATGCTGGCGCTGTCATGAGATTGATGGAGATATAAATCTTGCCAAGTGGTATGCTAATAATTAGTGAATGACAATAATTTATCATTTGACTTTGTGGCTATGGACCTCTCACGTGGAGAGAGATGACGTGCTGGAAGGATAACTTGGACAAGGAATAAATTAGAGCTCAATTTGAGAATTAGTGCAATAAAATTTAATTTCTCATTTACCACATGCAATAATACATAAACATGATGCTCATGACATGGTTTAGTATTTTGATTAAAGCGTAACACCGAGGGTGTTACAGTCACTCCCCACTAGTCCTCGTTGGAGCACCCGCGCAAGGGTGTAGCTCCCCCTTGATCCGCACAAGGATCAAGTGCTCTCTACGGGTTGATTCTTCGACACTCTGTCGCGGCGAATCACCCAAAACCGCTCACAACTTGAGTTGGGTCACCCACAAGCTCCGCCGGGTGATCACCAAGCTCCCAATCACCATCAAGCCGTCTAGGTGATGGCGATCACCAAGAGTAACAAGCACGAACTCTCACTTGACCACGCGAAGCCTAATGAGAAGATGGATGCACACTTGTCTACTCTTGATTCACTAATGAGGTTTCACTCTTGGATTCTTAAATCACAAACACCTCACTAGGACCTTGCTCTTCTTCACACTCACAAACGTGTTTCTCAGCTGTTGGAATGAGCAAAAGTGACTCCACACACGAGTGGAGCTTCTATTTATAAGACAGCCTGAAAAACGAACCGTTATGAGCTTCTGCGGGATGACCGGACACTCCGATCATATTGACCGGACGCCCGGTCCGGTTCAACCAGCCTGCAATAGCTTCAAGTGATGACCGGACGCGATGGTCCGATCAAGACTGATCGGACACGTCCGGCGATCTTGATGCTTATCAGAAACGACCGGACGCTTTGGATACACAAAGTCTGGTCACCACCGACCGACGCGTCCGGTCACACTTTCTCAAGTCTCCGACCCTTATTGAGTCGACCGGACGCTGGCCTTCAGCGTCCGGTCACACGATCTTCCAAATCCGGTCCTCCAGACTTGATCTCCTCGATCAAATGAATCGGCCGGACCCTACGGCCAAATCCGTCCGGTTGAAGATTTGACCCTCCATTCACTTCCAACTCTCGATCATATGTGAATGAAGTTAGCTCCAAAGGATCTTAGGCATTCATAGGAGCTACCTAGAGCTAGTTTTAACAAGTGTGCACCACACCTAACTCACTAGACTCAACTAGGTCAAGCTACCCGTTCATACCCCCTTTCATAGTACGGCCAAAGGAAAAAACAAAGTCCTAAACTACTCTAAGTGTCTCTCCAACTTCAATTGACACTTAGAACTAGTTATCCTTAACCTTGTCGTCCAACCTTTGAAAACCGAAACGATTTCCATCGTAGGGGCATGACAACCTCAATTGCCCAATCGATCTCCATTACCATGACCTAACTTAATTGCCTCTGCAAAACACACGTTAGTCATAGTAATCTTGTATTGACATTAATCACCGAAATCCACTTAGGGGCCTAGATGCTTTCACATTGGTTCTGTTCTTAGGGTCTAAGCATTTTTTCGATCTTTGCTTGGGGTACCCCTTTTTCTGGTATCCGACAGTAGCCCCCGAGCCTCGGGCGGGAGTGTGGGATACTCTCCCCGAGGTTTTTTCGAGACTTTTGTTTCTCAAAGGGCTCTTGTCGGGTTTGTTTTATACTCATGATTCTGGTGGCGCTGCGAGCGACTCACCGGGTGTAGCCCCCGAGACCTTAGAGGAGTGAGTTTACTCCTTTAGGGGCTTTTTCTTCGTTGAGTAAGGCGCCTATCGCATTCGCTAGACCCATGAGAGCGAGCTCGGGTCGCTTATTTTCGCTTAGGGTGCGTGGAGGAGCCCCGAGCCCGCCGAGCCCTCGTGTGCGATCCTAGGTCACTGGGTCTCTGCAAAGGTTTGCAGGAAGAGCCTCCGAGCCTCCGCAGACGGAAGCGAGAGGACGGTCAGGAGTTCTCCTGGCTTTTTGTACGACTCTCGCGCATCCTTTTCGTTCAGAAGGAGAGGTTGTTTGTCGAGCCCTTCGTGTGCGAGCCTAGGCCGCTGGGTCTCGGTAAGGTTGTAGGAAGAGCCCCCGAGCCTCCGCACGTAGCGAGAGGGCGATCAGGAGTACCCCTGGCTTTTTGTACGACCCTCGCGCATCCTTTTCGTTCGGAAGGAGGGGTTGTTTGCCGAGCCCTTCGTGTGCGAGCATAGGCCGCTGGGTCTCGGCAAGGTTACAGGAAGAGCCCCCGAGCCTCCGCACGTAGCGAGAGGGCGATCAGGAGTTCCCCTGGCTTTTTGTACGACCCTCGCGCATCCTTTTCGTTTGGAAGGAGGGGTTGTTTGCCGAGCCCTTACCGTTTTGGATGAGCCGTGCCAAAGAGGGGTTAAGCTGGAACAATATTTTTCTCTCACACCAAACCAGCCAACAATAAATAATCTACGTTTACGACGAAACGAACAGGCTGACTATCGATAGAAACTCTACTCCCCAGTGCATATTTGGGCTTTGTTTAGTTGGCGATTTTTTTTTGAAAATGGTACTATAGCATTTTCGTTGTTATTTGGCAATTAGTGTCCAATCATAGTCTAATTAGGCTTAAAAGATTCGTCTCGTGAATTTCGTCTAAACTGTATAATTAATTTTATTTTTTATTTATATTTAATGTTTCATGTATGCGTTAAAAATTCGATGTAACGAAGAATCTTGAAAATTTTTGTAAAATTTTAGAAACTAAACAGGCACTTGGTAACAGGGTTCACGAAAAAAGATCAAACCGATCATCTTTCCCCGATCCTTCAGAGCCTGTGGCCCTATCTGCTTGCTGCTCGTTCGTGAGGCGACCCCGCCGCATACTCGACGACGTGAACTCCTCGACGAGGCGTGGCCGGCTGGCCGCGCAAGAGAGGCAGCTCCGGGGCGGCGGCCGCGCACGCGGGGCGCACGTCGATGGCCGAGGCGGTGCTGGTACGGGGACTTGGGCAGCGGGCTGATGTCTATTTCGGCAAGCCCGCACACTCCGCTGGCTCTGCATGCTGGCGCGGCGGTGGGAAACGCCATGCTGCCGGCAGCACGACCCGCGGCCGCGACGCTCAGGCACCAGGTGACACCGGCGACGAGCACCGTGGCCAAGGCAGCGAAGGCGCACACCTCCCAGATGATGACGTCGATGGCTGCGCGAGACTCCATGGCGGCGGCGCGCGAGATCTCGTCGGTGGCCGCGCGCGAGCTCCCGTCGGCGGCCGCGTGTGCGAGGCAGCCATGCGAGGGTCCGCGACGGCGAGGTGCCAGATCCCGCCAGTGGCCGCGCGAGGCTTCGTGACGGCGGCGGCTGCGCGAGCTCCCACTGGCCGCGCGAGGTCCGTGACGGCGGCGACCGCAGGAGCGGTGCTTCACCGGCGGCGCAGGATCCGCAGTCGTAGATGGAAACCGACTGTATTGGATGGTTTCGACGGCCAAGCTGCGCGTGAAGACGTCGAGTCTACGATAGGTTGCTTGTGTTTTTCTTCTCTTTCTTCGATAAATACAGTGTCACGTCAGAAAAATCAATAAATAAAAAGATAATAAATAGACATAGAAATTATGACGAAGTCTGCATTGACAGTGTCCCGAGCATCACTGACTTGCTTAACCACTCCTGTATGCCGACTACGCCGTCATCAAACAAGAAGAGACATTTGGAGATGGAGGTGAGCATTATGTACGAATAACACAAGAGACATTTGGAGATGGAGGTGAGGTTATGTACGAGAGTAACACAGGAAGGAGACATTTGGAGATGGAGGTGGGCGGGGACAAGTTCCTGCTGGAAGATTTTACATTCAAACTACAGTGGGATCACCGGATCAGGATGATAAACGAAGGAGTGCCAGAATACAGGGGATCATCACTTCATCAGACTGTTCGTTTCGTCGTGGAACGATCGTTAAATGAAGGAGTGCCATCCATGATTTGCTACAACCGCAATAAAGAGGAACGACGATAATCCCTTGCAAGAAAGACGAGATCACAGTTGGAAGCAGTGACCCAAACCCACCCACAAGATCACAACCAACAAAAACATCCACAAAAATACACATTTTTCAACGTGAAATTTATAGGTTGGAATGACACTAACAGAAAATGAGAAAAGAGCATTTTTCATCAACACAGATTCATCAGGAGTAAAGGCTACTGAGGAAGCAACAAACACGGAATAAGCCAAATATTGCTGGTTTATACACAAAACACGTTTAGACCAAAAGTGAAGTATCCCGGACAACCACTAGTAACTTTCATAAAACCTCTAGGAAATGCACCTGAGGGCTGAGGCTTATTTCATTTATCATGCTGACTAAGCATGGTCTAGTTTCTAGCATGTGACAGTACAATGCAAACAAGTTCATAACTTCTATGACTTGGCACTCCAATAGTCCAATCCATCATACAAAAGACAATGCACAATGACCATTTACACAGAAGAAACAAATCACCCATGATCATTTACACGGAAGAAACAAATCACACCACGATGACAGCAATCATAGAATCAATATATCTGAAACATTTCATGTAAACTTGCATTGCTAAATGCAAAAATCCCAATGCACACTGTCTCACCAAGTAGGGGCTTCATCACTAACTAACAAGGAAAGAGTCCAGCATTACCAAAATGCAACACAATGGTAAACTGTGATGTTGCATTTGTCGTCGAATCAATGCTAGAGACTCTAAGGCTACCAAATCAGGGCATAAAAATATCTCATGCAACAGTATACTACCAGTGAAATTAGTCAAGGCACACTACACATTTACAAAGCCTAAGGATACAGGCATCACTAAAACTAAGACTTCCAAGTCATGAAAATATAAGTAGCGGCGCAACACAGAGAATGCATCGAGTTTATTAGTCTCTAATGAACAGAGAACAATCTACAGCACAAGGTTCAACAACACGTATTTCACATCATTTCTAACAATCTTGTAACGCAAACACAGTTACAAATTTCATAACACCGAAGATCCCACAACATGCATCATAAATCAATTGCACGGATGAAAGTAGAACAATTGGTAGCATAGATAGCTTTAATATATCTGAAATATTTGATATGAACTTGCATCAAAATCCTCATAAGCCCTGTAACAACAGGCAGCAGCCACAGATTTAAAAACTACAAGTCTTCTTAACGCAAATAGCTGAGACAGGAAAGCACTACTAGTTCAGAAGTAGATCTCAAAACCAAGAGACGAACAAGTACTGAAACCTAGGCGGTGAGCACGACGGCGCCGCCGGCGGCCTTGATCTTCTTCTCGGCGACCTTGGAGATGAGCTTGGCCTTGACGACGATGGGCTTGGGCGGCAGCACCCCCTTCCCGAGCACCTTGAAGTAGCCGAACTGCGTGACGTCGATCTGCGGGGCCTTATCGCCGCCGGCCTCCGCCGCCTTGTCGGCAGGCACCATCGACCAGAGGCGCTCGATGTTGACCGCGGGGCAGTAGAACTTGTTCCGGAGCTTGTGGAAGTAGCGCATGCCGACCTTGCCGAAGTAGCCAGGATGGTACTTGTCGAAGAGGATGCGGTGGTGGTGCATGCCACCGGCGTTACCGCGACCTCCCGGGTGCTTCCGGTGCTTGCCGATACGGCCGTGCCCGGCGGACACGTGGCCGCGCTTCTTGCGGTTCTTCTTGAAGCGCGTCGTCATCGCCGCCGCCGCCGCCGCCGCCGCCGCTCGCCGCCTACTTACCTGGGTAGCGCCTGGGAGGGGAGTAGTGGAGGCGGGGGAGGGAGTGGAGGAAACCCTAGGAGCTGGGAATGGCGTGGTCTTATAAGGCAGGCGTCTGATGCGGCCGCCGTTGGATGTCGGACGGGGGAGCGGGAGCCGTTGATGAGGCCTCTCTAGGGTTTTGCTGTGGGGTGTAACGGGATGTTGGGCTGGGCCTGGACTGCTGGTGGTGATTGCTTGATCTGGGCTTTCAACCGTTTCCAAGGAATGGCCTTATGTTCATTCATCTCGATCTGCAATTCGGCCCAAGTTGCAGAAAAGAGGAAAGGGGAAGAAAAAACTGCTTTTGCTCTGAGATTGTGATTCTCCATCCAGCTGTTTCTCCCTGTCTTCTGCTAAAAAAAAAAAAACTGTTTCTCCCTGTCATGATGCAGCGATGCAACGTTCGCGTGAGGATTGACAACTGACACGGCGTTTTTGCGATTGCGATCGCCAAGGCGAAGCTCACGCTCTTGGTGGCCATTTTTGTCACGTTCACCGTGAGCCTTGGTTTGAGAGTACGTTGCCAATTTGATAGTCTTTCTAGGCTCAACTAGTGCTTTATTCGTTTTCCTTCAAAACCAAAGGAATTTTGGTGTAAACTTTTGTGTCCAACAGGCAGTGAAGTTCAGGAGTCCAAGCCATGTTCTGTTGTACTACTTCAGTAGTACTTTTCAGCGAACGAATAATATTGTTTTCACAATAAATTAGCATAAGCATCAGCATAAGCCAAATTTCATAGTCGTTTCGCTGAAATTTAGCTTATGCTGATCTGTTGTGAGAGGAAAATACTATTCGTTCGCTGAAAAGTACCGCTGATGGCCTGTTCGTTTCGCTAAAATTTAGCTTATGCTGATTTGTTGTGAGAGCAAAATATTGTTCGTTCGCTGAAAAGTATTGTTGAAGTAGTGAAATAAAAATTCATCAAATGGTGAGCTATGTTGCATTTTGCAAATGGCAAGTGATTATAGAAAAATAAGAATTCATCAAACGGAGTAGCTTTACAGAAAAAACGTTAATCAACGAGTGGTAGGTTTTGGATGTCATGTTTTATTTGACGTTAATGCACATTTAATGTAATATATCTGCTCATAGAAAATACACAATATCTTACACTAAAAATAACATCTCCAATAGAATGTACACTACCTCACAACTGTAGAATAGATCTAATCTTTATGTTGGTGACAAAAAAATCAATGCTGTGAAGGCAAATTTAGAAAGAGAAATACACGTGCCAGTTGTTGCTTATAGTAGAAATATCTTATAGTAGAATACAATATACACTGCCTCACCGTTGTATAATGTAGTATATTGCTGACGCAAACATCAATGTTGTGAAGGCAACTTTAGTAAGAAAAATACATGTAACGGTTATTGTTTAGGCCATCTCAAAGTTTTAACAATGATATAATTAATAAAAATCTTATATATGCTACCATACAAATATGTTTTACTTATTGCCATTTGGCGCCAAATAATTACCCCTCGTGCATGTAACTATAACATATTTCTTACCAACTCTTATCTTAGGTTAGGTGAGAATAAAAGCATGCTTGATTGTCGTTCGCATCCTGCCAAGCTACAAGCGTAGCGGCAAAAATTCACGTCAGAGTGTGACAGGGAAATGGCATGCTATGCAATGGTTTTTGTGTGTGACGTATTGAACTTAACGCAATAAACAAACAATGACTACTTTTTGTGATGGCTGCGAAAGTTTAAGCGTAATGCATGCTAATAGGCAACCAAATAACCTCCATTACTTGTAACCATTCGCTAATAAAATAAGTGTGGTTAACACTACATTCTTTATGAAATCAAGACTCATTTGATTTTAAGGTGAGAGATCCCCTTGCTTGGCCAAGAATCGAAGTGGGGGGAGTGTATGGTTCTAACGTAAGTTTTTCTTTACTTTTATGGGGAGTGAGTTTGACTTGTCTGTGGTGACGAGGTGAGGCAAACAAAGACAAGAAGAGAACCAAAATAATGTTACGATGTATCATGTGAAATGATATTGAGCGAAAAAAAAGCCTAACAATCAGAGTGCTAAAAAAGCTCTAAACCCAAAATCTGCCCTTAAACCCATAATAAAACCGGCGAGCCAAACCCAAAAACAAGCAGCGAAATCACCCATCCTCGCAAACAACGGAAGGAGCACGGGCTCACGGCGGAGCAAACCCTCTCTTCCTCCCCTCCTCCGCTCCCCAACTCCGCCTCCCTTCCCCTCTTTCCCCGTCTCCGCCTCCCTCCCCGCCGCCCCCCCCAGATTCCTCCCGCACCGCCATGGACGACCTCGAGCAGGCCATCCTGCTGGCCTCCGACTCGCCCGCCGCCGCCGCGGCGTCCGCGTCCGTCCGCGCGGAGGCTCTCGCCTTCTGCGACCGCGCCCGCAACGAGTCCCCGCCGTCGTCGCTCCTCCGCCTGTGCCTCTCTGGCATCGCCTCCTCCCCGCACGCGCAGGTCCACTTCTGGTGCCTCCAGTCCCTCCACGACGCGCTCCTCCGCCGCCGCATAGTGCTCCCCGACGACCTCGCGCTCCTCCGCTCCTCCCTCCTCTCGCTGGCGGTTTCCTCTCACGCCACGTCGCCGCCTTTCCTCCGCAACAAGGTCGCGCAGCTTGTTGCGCTCCTCGTCCGCCTGGACTACCCCCATGTCTACCCTTCCTACTTCCTGGACCTCCTCCCGCCCGCGCCGCCGCAGCCCGGCCCCACGGACATGTTCGCGCGGGTTCTAATCTCCCTCGACGACGACCTGCTCTCCCAGGAGTACCCCCGCAGTTCTGACGAGGCCGCCGACGCTATGCGGGTGAAGGATTCCATGCGCGCGCAGTGCGTGTCCCAGATCGCCAGCCACTGGCACACCGCCGCCGTGACCCTCCGTACAGCCGACCCTGCGGCTGCGGCGGTGGCCCTTGAAGCGGCGCGCAGGTGCATCTCGTGGATCGATGTCGGACTAGTCGCCAATGATGTGTTCGTCCCTCTGCTCTTTGACATTTCAATGTCCCCGGGAAGCGCGCCTCCACTTGCTGCTGCAGCGGTGGGGTGCCTTTCTGCTGTGGCGTCGAAGAGGATGGACTCAAGGGCGAAGGTGGGATTGTTGAGGTCACTCCTGGCTGCACAGCAGGGGCTTGGTAGCCCAGACAGTGGGTTGAAGATGACACCCTTGGTGACAGCATATGCTGCCGAGGCTCTCGAATGTCATCGCAGGCTTGGTCCTAGTGATGCTGATGGAGCTGCAGCATTGGAGATGCTGGAAGAGGTGCTACCAGCTGTATTTGCAGCTGCAGAAAGCGGTAACGATGAAGATGTGGACTCTGGTTCCGTGGTTGAGTTCTTATCTGGCTATGTGAGCATAATGAAGGCACCGTCTGAGAAGCAGTTGGGGCACTTGGGACGGATCTTGGAGGTGGTGCGGGTGCAGATGTCATTTGATCCAGTATATAGGGGGCATCTTGA